CTACTAGTATGGCACTTGTTACTAGTAGCTTCTTGTTTCTACTAGTAAGGCACTTGTTACTAGTAGCTTCTTGTTTCTACTAGTATGGCTCTTGTTACTAGTAGCGATGCACTTGTTTCTACTAGCTTCTTGTTTCTGTCCATTCTGTATATGTTGGGTCGGTCAACCCGGCTCGGTGCCATGATCCACAGCCGCTCGGTAAGCGCCAGACTTCGATCAGAGCCGCTCTGGCGAGCCATGACGGATTTGTGCGATGCCCTTTGTTCCGTTCGTAGCGTCCGATCGGTCCGTTCGTAGGGATGCCCTTTGCTCCTAGGTCCTAGTAGCGTCCTCTTGTTCCTAAGTGGAAGAGTTTGGAGGTCTGATCGAATGGAGCCTACAGAGAACATCCGGCCTGCACGGATCAACTTGGAGGTGATTTTTGGGGTGGGAGCCCCACATGGTTGAGGGTCCCAATTCTACATGGGTTTTGACTGGCTGTGATAATTGCCCTCTCTTTCTGCCAGCAGTTGGAAGTCTCATACCAATCCCAAACCAACTCTTTTGAAAGCAAACATGTCCATCCTTCCCACACCTTCCCTCCCCCCAAGCACATCCACCAAATCGCTCCCCCGCCGTTGCCGTTTTGTTTTCCGGCCGTTTTCCGCGCCAGGCGGCCCAGGAGATGTACGCGGCCGAAGCCCGAAAGGAGTCCCGCGGGGCTCACGCGCACGAGAACTTCCCCGAGCGTTCCTGGGACGCAACGCGGAGCGACGGAGGGTACAGGAAGCCCTGGTCTCCACCCTCGTGGCATTGGAGCTTGGTCGGTTCTAAGAAGGGATGCAGCGGAATACGGAAACCACCGGTTTGACATACTTTGACAGTTACTTTTTTACATTGAATTAAAGAATATGTTTAAACAGCGAAACATGTATAGTATTATTGTTTCACCAGTTTTCCCGGGAGGATGTGCTTCCAAACGCTTGCAAGCCGCAAAAAGCACAGCACATCATACTGCTTCAATTCTTGGACGCCAGTCGCAGTTCCTCGGACCCTCCAAACACCGTTCGATCGGTGCGAGAACAAGGTCCTGCGTTCGTTCCGCGTGGATCTTCTGGCGTGGATCGTGGAGCGCGCGGCGGGTTTTGCGGTGTGGGCAGCGCGCTGAGGTGACGATGAGAACTGGATGAAGCACACCCTCTCTTGGCTCGACAAGCCTCATGTCGAGGATGCCAAGGCTAAAAGAAGGGCAGTTCAAGAAAACAATAGAAAACATGTTCAATTGAAGAGACCAGAATCCTTTCGTAGGTTGATTATATAATGTTGCTTCTGAATTCTGAATTAATTGTTTTGCGGTCTCGTGTCAAGCGGTTATTCCTTTTTTCTTGTCGTGGATCTTTATGTGTTTGTCTCTTCCATGGTTGCAAAATGGCTGCAATTCTTCAGGTTGCTATGCTGTACTTTCGTGTGTTTCTTCCAAAAACACTGCGCAATGAGAGTGCCAGTGAGCAAAATCAAAAGAAAGCACCCAACAGAATGAAAAGTATCAGAACACTTCGGGGCAAGCTTTGCCACTTGTGCTGATCAGACCCGCATAGTAAAAGCTGGTCTTGCGATCGTGCAGGTGGTGTTGAAGTACCGCAGAGTCATCGATCAGCCTTTGGACAAGGACTGCTCAGATGTCGTTCACATCCTTCAGCAGAGCGGACTCCCATCGTTTCCTGCATGTTTTCCACTGAGGACATTATATGTGGCATAGTGTGACATAGTGTGTGTGTGTGACATGTGAATGATTTAGTTCTTATCGCCCATACCAATGTCTCGTGAAATTGATACCACAAATCCCTGAACCTGTAACGTATTCGTGGAATGATGTCCAAACAAAAAATAAAAGACCTGAGAAAGACAACCTGGAGGTTTGGTGGGAAGAACCCAGAGGATGAGCATCATCCACTTAAATGGAGATCAGCACGTGTTGGATATTTTTTGCTTTTCTTCGGGTAAAGTAGCAAAGCATAGCACCCGCAGCTAGTCTCCAGCCATCCCGTGGCAGACCAGTCCGAGCTTCGCCCAAGAACCATGTCCCTGCGTTGCAAAAACAGGAGATGCACCATGTCCCCCCGGCCAAGCGTGTCTACTAGCGTGTCTACGTCGGGGACCTGAACCGAGCACATTGGGAGGATTGACAGACACTTGTTCCTAGTAGCTTCTTGTTACTACTAGTAAGGCACTTGTTACTACTAGCGATGCACCTGTTACTAGAAGCTTCTTGTTCCTAGTAGCTACTTGTTACTACTAGTAGGGCACTTGTTACTAGAAGCGATGCACTTGTTCCTAATAGCTTTATTGTGTCTAATAGCTTCTTGTTACTACTAGTAAGGCACTTGCTACTACTAGCGATGCACCTGTTACTAGAAGCTTCTTGTTCCTAGTAGCTTCTTGTTACTACTAGTAAGGCACTTGTTACTAGAAGCGATGCACTTGTTCCTAATAGCTTTATTGTTTCTAATAGCTTCTTGTTACTACTAGTAAGGCACTTGTTACTAGAAGCGATGCACTTGTTCCTAATGGCTGTATTGTTTCTAATAGCTTCTTGTTACTACTAGTAAGGCACTTGTTACTAGAAGCGATGCACTTGTTCCTAATAGCTTAATTGTTTCTAATAGCTTCTTGTTACTACTAGTAAGGCACCTGTTACTACTAGCGTGGCACTTGTTTCCAATAGCTTCTTGTTACTAGATCGTTGTTCACCTCAACCAAGAGAGATTGAGTGTAGATCCCTCACTCACTTCGGATCTTGTCAGATGTTGCATAGGTAATCGATCTGAACTTTAGTTTTCCAGGTCTGTCAAGCACATTCCAGATTCTCTAAAGTGAGAAACAGTATCATAGACAGCAAGGGATTCCCTCTTCGCCATTCAATTTCCCACTTTTCGGAGGCCGGCGGACGACCGCAGATGCCCCACGCGCCACGCGTTCCGCATGTCCCGACGCAGGGTGCCTTTTTGAGGGCGGACGAGATTCCTTCTCCCGCACGCCGCGGGAGAAAAGATACGGAGCGGGCCGGGGGCTGGCCGTGCACTTGAGGAGGGGCTGTGCTGTTTTCATGTTGGAGATACACTCGGAATCACCATAGAAGTGGGCAGCACCGGTTTGAAGAGGATTTCATGGTCATCCAAGGGGGCCATGCCATCGAATCATCCTTCCGAGCAGGGGCCGGTTAGAAGCAAGGGTTGGAAGCTGGGCTCATCGTGTGGCGGGCTTTACAATGACTTTCGTGTATTCTCAGAAAGCCTTGCGTGAGGCTCGGCGGGGCCAGTTCATTTTCTATTGATGGGTGTCTAGAATCTTGTGCCATGATCAGTTCATGACGTGGGCTATGTCCCTCACTGAGAAAATCTCGGCCTTTTGTCATCTAGGGGATCTCACTCGTCCTCCAGATTCCTTGAAGCTGTGAGTGATGCATTGATCGAAGGGAATCCCTTGGTCCATCGATGTTTATATGGTAAGTGAAGGATGCCTTGATGACAAGATAGTTCTTTGGATCAATAGCCAGCAGACGAGTGGTTTTGTATACTTCCGGCTTGCCATGACATGCTTGGCACGGGATGCTGGAAAATGGCTCAGCTTGGACACAACAACCTTGATGGAAGAGACACTCCCTGAACCTATGCCTTCGACCAAGTGGAAGACACAAGGTCTTGAAGTGTTGCTTTCCAAGTTTGGGAGTAAAGTTGCTAACAAGAACAAGATGAACAAGTCATTTGACTGCGTCCGCTGTCACCACAGCTGACTGCATTAACGCCGTCAGCGAAGGAGAAAAGCAGCCACTTGACAACAAACACTAGAGTAGAAACAGACAGAGCCGCAGTTCCTCATATCATGGAAACAACCCAGCAACAAAGACTAAACATGCAACCATCTCAGTTGCACATGCCCCACTGTGGTCCAAATCCCTTTGGGAAGGGCAAAGCTCGGCTTGCAGACCATTTTGTGTCGTCTTCTGACCCCGCGCAACTCATCCAACATCATCTCACCACGCCCAGCATCATCCAAACAATCACCCAACATCATTGGCTGACGGATGCTCCGTACCGTGAGCTGCATCCGCTTGTCACGAACGCGGGCACTCCTCCAGAGGCCTCTTGAGAGTTGGGGGAAACGTCAAACGTACACTGTATATGGATAGGAAAGCCAGTTTCCCCTGCTCACGGCTAGTTGCACGGCTGGCTACTGCAAACGAAAGATCAAAGACTATGAAACAAACCTGAGGTCACAGCATAGCTTTCTTGGATTTGGTGGTGGATCAGGTCACAGAAGGTCATCCATGCAGAGTGAAGGTGTTCGCACAAAGATCGCGTTTTCGGTCGAGTTTATTCATGGAGTTCTCTGGACTTCCTGCAATGTAATGGATTTCTTTGACCTCTTTGATCATCCTTCAAGCAAAGAACCCTTTCAAAGGAGTCCCGTTTTTTCACATCAGTTGGTTCGGATGCGTTGGATTCGATCCCTCACATGACCAGAAACCGACATCCTCCGACTGAACTCGAGTAGCGAAGGCCATGCCGCTGCCTGAGCACCGGCACGTTGCGGCAAGCCCAGCAGTGCGCGACAGTGTCACGCTGAACCAGTTTCCTCCAAAAAACGTGTGCAGTTGACCTCCGTCAACCTGAGTCCCCTGATTTGGACGCTGAGCTGTGCGCCCTCGCCCGATGAGGTTTGCAGTGGCCACGCCCATTGGGAATTTGCAAGATGCCTCGGCTCCTTGGTAACACGTTTGGTACAGCCCAGGTTGGAGGCCATTGCTAGTAGGTTGGAGGCCATTGCTATTAGGTTTGGTTTGGTAACACGTTTGGTCCGGCCCACGCGGAGCTTGAGAGCCTGGGAGGTAGGGGATGGTAGGGGTGAGGTCTGGTGGAATGGGAAGAAGCTCGTGCAGCAAGCTGGCTTCAGATGATGGAAGCTGGAACGTTTGGTGGTATGAAGAAAATGGAGAAAGAAAGGAAGGAAAAAGCAAAAGTCAAGAGCAGCAATATGAAGCAATATGTATATTTATATATATATATCATACTGACTGGACACCGGTTTCCTTTCAAGTTTCTCAGATATGTTTGGTAGAAGGTCTATCGAGCCTTGGTACACCATCATGTTTGTCAACAGTATCATGAGTTCATTGCGTTTGTTTGGGGTGATTGTGCGATGGGCACTTGGATACGGGATTCCGATCGTCAAACCAGGCCCATGGCATTTGGAGAACTATAAGTAGGCCACATTGAAGGACGGAGAAGAAATAGCATTAGGAGACTCCCGAATGGATCATCGTACGTGGTACGACTGCTCAGGCACGAGTCATCTCCACGCTTCAACGCCGCTGTGCAGTAAAGTGCCTGTGTGGTGTGTTGGATCGCGTGGGTTTGAAGAAAATGCCTGGTGACATGGCTTGGTGTTTTGACCCAAACCCGAGTCATATAATTAATGTTTTGTCATCTCCCGGAGTCTACGGAGACCTGTTTGCTTTCGAAGTGCGAAACTCAGTCGACTGAAAGGCTGCCTGAGGGCAAACCCCTCATCCGGGCAAGGACGGAATCTGAGGCACCACAAAGCCATTCTCTCGAAGGCCCATTGTGAACCTCGTCAAAGCAAAAGCAAGCAAATGACCTGAGCCATATCCATATTGTTACACATGTCACCCATATCCAAATCCGAACCAGCAATGGCCTCCAACCGAATAGCGATGGCCTCCAACCTAATATATAACCATGGTCCAACCTAGAAGCAATAGCCTCCAACCTAATGGCGATGGCCTCCAT